GTTGGATTTGCTACCTTCTGTGACTTTTTATAATGTTTAGATTCTTTTAATCATATCCGTATGAATTAATATGAATGAGTACACACGCATATGAGAAAGCAAGCAAGCTGGCATGCTCAAAATAAAGTGTCAGTCCCCAGTATCATCTTTCTTTCTATGAATGCTTTGGAACTTCAAATAGACCAAAAGCTTTCTTAGAAAATAAAAATAACAGGCTGCTCTAACACTCTGCTTTGTTTTGAAGCTGCATCAACTGCCCCAACAAAAGGGCAGAAGCAAGCAGAGCTAAGAGGGAGGTAAGCAGGGACATGACAGAAAGCTTGCTCTAAGAGGGCAGAAACTAGAGATGTAGAGGTAGGCACTTTACCTGAACCCCGGTTTTGTACCTGGTTCTGCCCCCCAGGGCAGGCATTTGAAAATTAACTGGTCTGCTTTGTTTGCAGACATTTTGTGTGACAGCCCATAGTCGTTTTGTGATCAACCCCCCCCCCCCAACAAAATGCTCAAAATTCCAAATGTGCCTCCCAGTTCAAAAAATTCAGGGATGCCTGTAATAAAATCTATGCTGAAACTCCATGTCAAGAAGCAGTTAATGAGTAACATTCAGCCACTTTTCTTGATTATTCTTAGTAGGAAGAGAGATAAGCAATTCTTGTTTGCATCACCACTCCAAAGCACAAAGTGTAATAACAATAATTATATTTAGATACAGTTTTTCTATTAAAAGCCACAGATACTATATTACTGCAATTTACTCACCTGGCTGTCCAGGCCAAGCAACAGAAGCATAACAAAGAAAAGAATAGCCCAAAAAGTTGGCAACGGCATCATAGACACAGCTTTTGGATAAGCAATGAAGGCCAGACCTGGACCTAGAGGATTAAAGAGAGAGAGAGAAAGGAAGGGGGGAAAGGAGACAATGTAGTAAGTATTTAACTCATTTTTGAATGAAGACCTCCCCCTGCTCCTCATAAGATGCCTGATTCCATCCAGATAAACCCAAACCCAACTGAAGATTCCAGAAAGGAATTCACCCTGATCCTTTATCTGACAAAGAAGCCTGCGTGGCTGTAAGAACTCCGATCTAAAAAGTATATGAAAAACAGGAGAATCCAGCACACTTCATTCAGAAAGAGAGCTTCTGGCCTAAATAAGATGTAATTACTGCATGACCAATTCCTATGGTCTTTAAGGAGAAAAAATCCTGGACTCTTATATTTTCTCTTGGGTTATTTACGTACAACTTGTTCTTGGACAAACAAGCCCAAAGAGTAATTTCTAGGATTTAGGCCAGAGAAGGCCAGTTCCTGAACTGTTGTAAGACTCCAGAACTCTATTAATATCACAAAATACTGTGTTTGCATACAGAGGCAAAGGAAATGGTGTAACAGCTTCTATTAGAATATAGTAACTGCTTGTACAAATATCCCGAAATAGAATCCATCCTTGGTTACAACTGACTGACACGAGACGTTAGTAGGTTCGTTCAATACAGCAATAATAAATCCATTTGCAGGTATCTAACATAGTCAGTGAGTATTATTTGCTTAGGATACAAAGCAACAGATACTATCTGAAAAATTGTCCTTTAAGATTATCAACAGCAAAGTCAGTAGTAGATTTCCCATTGCCTTCTCTGTGGATTAGCCAATAAAAGCCAAAACAAACCACAATTCTATGGTATATAATAGTTATGTGCAACAATGAGACAATTATCATTTTATGTTGGGGCCTCTTAATTCAGGTACAATAAAGAATTGAAAAATGTTTGTATTTATTTAAAACTAATTGATACTTTGAACGTGATGGGAAAATACTGTACCAACACTTTCACGCAAGCTTTTTGTTTAAATAATTAGACTAAGATGTTTCTGTTTATTGTTTTCTTGCTTTTCGTCCATGTGTTAAACTGGAAATTACTCTCTGTAAATTACTACTTGGTCACTCACCAGTTACATTTCTGCTACCTTCCACTTTCCATTCAGTTTAACAAAATATATACTTAGAAAGATGCAAAAAATGTACTAAACTAATGTCCAGGATACATTAACTGTACTTGCCTCACTTAAATTAATAATCCTTAAGATAACCACACCTGGCCCGTTGATTCTAATGGAAAGAGAGTTTAATTCACTTTCTTCAGACTGAAGACTTGGGGCCCAATCCTGCCTGCATTACGCACTGTTAAGGTGATATCCTTTACAAACATTCTTCTGGATGAAGGACCACATATCCTCATTATTTTCTTCTGTGATCCAACAACTATGCTGCCTGGCAAAATCCTTTAAAAGGTAGAGGTTCCATCTATACGTCTCCAGATGTATCTTAGAGCCAAAGAGTTCTAGGATACTGGATTCATTTCTAAAATGACCCAATTCTCACACGAGGTCCATGCTATTCAATTTTATTACAGTATTCATTTATTTATTGTACAATGTATTAATTCTTTCACTGAGCTGTTTTAGTTGAAATCCTATGTAGCACTAAGTTCCATTGAGCCTAATGGTCTCATTTCACATAGTTATCAATATAGCTTTCGTTACTCCTTGATAGAAATTATTTTCAGTGGGATGGTTGAATAAGGCATGCAAAATTTCAGATCCAGGGGCTGCCATTCCAGAGTCACAGCATAATCCTCTATGCATGCTTACTCAGAATTAAGTCTTACTGTGTCCAGCATGGCTTAGTCCCGGGTTAGAGTGCACAAGAATGCTGCCTTAAGAATGTGTAAACTAACTGAAATCAATAGAGTTAAGTAGACCTAACTTTGTATGGTACTGAAGATTGAAATGCATTAATCGCCATACCGGCTCCCATATTTGGTGCGTGCTTTGGACACCACCCCTTCATTTTTCATTAAAGCAGCCTGACTTTGGTGCCAGCCTGGGTGGGGGGGACGGGACAGGCCCCTCCTTAAGGATTCATTCCTTTAATGAAGGGGCTCCTCTAAGCAGCAACTCTAAGTAGTGTCTTTTTACAGGCTCCTGAAGAAGCCTGAGAAAGGCCAGGCAGCTTTAAGGTGGAGCAGAAAAGGCCTGCATCATTTTCAAAGCATGAAGAGCCCTATGAAATATATAGTTACAGCAGAAATACAAATTTGAAATTAAGCATACAAATCTTACTGCCATTCCTTATCACCAATAACATGGCACAGGAAGACAAACCAATTTGTTACACAACACAGCATGGAAATCACAGAGTTGCTTTTCCCACAATACCTGCCTTGGAAGCTTTTTTCTGCCACTTTAGCTGTACATTATGTTAGATACAGCCTTTTAATGGCTGATTCACATTTATACCTTTTAAAGCAATTAAGACTCTTCCAAATCTGCATCAGGCAGACAAATAAAATACATAACTTGGGCTATAGCCGTGATGGCCAGTAAAAACCTCTGCAATTCTGAAAGACACTTTTTAGTAGTTGTGGCACTCAGGTGCCTGAATTACTGTCAGACAGCCTTAGCACTATAGATTTCAGTAGATTGATACAGGCTTGTAATAAACTGAGTATCTGGTCCAGCATGTCTTAATGTCAACTGCATAAATGCTTTAGGGGAAGTCCAAAAAAATTTGCATGCTTTGTTCAAAAGAAATAAGTAGGGACATATTAACCTTTCAGAATACAAAATAGCTTTAAAATATTTTACAAACATAATAAAAAGAAAAAATATCCCTATGTGCATGAGACAGTTGTGATTTCCACATCTGGAAATATGTGTGGCACATTGCTTTGGGCACATACATACAGTAGTGTAACTGGGGAAGAGGGACTAGTTAATCTAAAGGCTCTTTCACATCCTGGAAGTATAGGTGGGATGTGACAGGGAAGATAATCTTTTTCCTCTCACCCATATTTCGAACCACTTTGTTACAGATTTCATCAATTCCATCAATGCTCTATATTAAAATATATAAGCTGCACTTTAAAAAAACACACAAAGATTTTCTAGCACAGCTAGCATCGTTTTGAGTAAAATGGTGGGTACATGGAGATTACAGAATGACGTCTATTAGAGATTTGAAGCTAAGGCAGAGTAACCACAAAGGATCATCTCTTTATACAGCATTGACATTTCTTGTAATTTTGATTCAGTCTTCAGCATTCAAGTCCATACTGCATTTCAGCACATTTTAAAAATGTGCATTTCAAACCGCTCATTGAAACTGCTCATTGAAATAAATTATTACTTTGTTTGCTGGAATACTGTTTACGTTTAATCTTTCTCCTTTGAGTTTTGGGATGATTTAGCTTGTAGAACTTTGCTCACACACTGGATGGCAGTGCCCACCATCACTGCCACCAATACCATCGTACCTGACTCTGCCACATCAGCAATGTCCACCCCTTGCTCTTGTGCCATGAAGCCCAGGACGGAAAAAATTGCGAAGCCAGACACAAAACTGGTACCACTGTTCAGGCATCCCAGCAGCAAACAGTCCCTATGTCACACATATGTCATGGAGGAAATTAATTAAAGAAAAATTTGAACCCATGGTTCCCTACACATCAATTAGCTAACAGACTAATCCCCTTTGGTAGGAAACTTGCCTGTAACAGTTGTATTTGTATTTATTGTAGCTCCCCAAGGAAGTCATTGCACCTAAGCAGATTGCATAGGAGAAGAAGATCTGTGTCCCAGCGTCTATCCAAACCTAAGGAATACATGAAAAATAACAAGCTCAGAAGATGGTGCTGGGTATCAGTTTTAGCTATTAGCTATCCAGATTCAGCGGCATATTACAACATTATTGCATGAATTATGAATTTAAAACATAATCAATTAAAACAAAAACATAATTTTATATACATAAATAAAAGGTCTCACTTTTGCAGACAAGAACAGGATAACATTTATAAAAAACAAAGCTTAAAACCAGGTTAGCAGTTCATGGACTCCATATTTTTGAAGGGGTTGTGTTCCTCCCAACCTTGGTATTTTTCTTGCTAGTCATGTAGTAGAATCAGATATTCTAATCTAAGCAGGCAGATACAGAATTGCCCAAAGCCTCTGAAATGGAGAGCAGCAGCAGCTTTTCAGAAATCTCTCAGGAATCTTGCGTAATGTCAGTGCTGCTGTGAAGGTACTAGAAGTGGGTAGCGCCCAGTGGCATTTCCATCTGCCTTGTAATGTTTGTGTTGCTGATTTATTTTGCATCCTTAAATCTGATTCTGCTTATTTCACACTTTCATTTTTTTCTTTTGAATAGACAGGTTTGCATTTCCCCAGCTTTAGGAAACAGATCTTGTGGCTGTCTACATCATCATATCTGTAAGGAGTGGAAAATGCTCATACGTAGCAAAACAAACACAAACCAACGAAACAAATCAGGCTCCTGCACATTAGAAAAGAAACTGTTTTCCAAGCATTTATGTGAAAGCATAAAGTGGGCCAGCATTTTAATTCTTTCCCACTGTATTTACACTATGGTATTTAGCTACCCTCCCAGGGAGTGTCCATGTAAAGTGGACAGTCGCAAATACTCACAAGTGCTTCTTACCATTCCTTCTGATGCTCTACGACTTGAACAACTAAAGACTGAAGCAAATTATTTCCCTTACCTTGTCCACAGCCTAATACCAACAAAAAAGCTGAGATGCTATATTTGGATAGAGTCTACAAGCCTCAGAATCCTTTTGATACAAAAAGATATACACACATGGAAAATACATTAACATGTTAATAACAGCCTTTTTGACAAGATAAAATGGAAAACTGAACCATGGTAGAAAACTTCAGTAAAGTATGGATTGGTTAAGTAATCAGTAAATCTACAGAATAATCACCCCACTGCCCTCCTTACATTTTGTTCTAGAATATAAGGAAGAAATTATCACTATCCCCTATTTCTAGTAACCCACCTGTGGATCCGACAGACGAGAGATGTCAGGGTAAAGGTAAAATTTGATGCCCTCTGCAGCTCCAGGTAAAGTCACACCACGGATTAAGAGTACAAAAAGCATGACGAATGGAAATGTTGCTGTTACGTATACAACCTGGTAATAAAAGGTAAAATGGCAAAAACTCTTTTATTTGTATACATATGGAATTTAAGATTATAGTTGAGTTATCCCTATTTAATTTTCCAATTTCTGTTAAGTCTTTGACTTTTAATACTCAGTGATTCAATCAGTCCTCTAAACTGCATCTACATTTACCTATTGCCCTAAAAGAAGTAATGACAGCAACTAAGACATAAGAGTAAAATTATTTCATGCCAATTTAACTGTGTACACATTTCTCTTTATAATCCTCATCTTCCTTATAATTAATGTAAATTAATATAAATTACATATTTTATGTAAAGGGACCACATACTTGAATATTCTCTCACTTAATAGCTTTTAAATTATTTGTGAATAAGCAGGCATATGAAGAAATTGAAAATTAAGAAATATCAAGTCCACTGTCAAACTTTATTAAAATTAAACCTTTCTGACAGATACTTGCTGCACTCCTGCGCAAGCCGACAAGCCAACACATTTCATTCTCATTATGACAGATGTTTGCAGATGGCATCCGTCAAACTAATGGACCAAGCAAAATCAAAATATAAAAATTAGTTTCAGAAGCAAGTGAAATTTAAGGTATTTCCCTCTGAGGTTTTTTGTATACACAACCTTGATCAGTGTAACTTGCTTTTTATTTCTCATATAGAGTGGTTTTGCTCATTTAAAAAAAATCACAAAGATACTTATAGATGTTCATCTAGAGGTTCAGATGTTCATCCCTCCTGTTTTCACTAAATTTAATGCAATATCATACCAGGGTAGCCAACCTGGTAGAGCCTCCAGTGCAGTGAGGGGCTATGAGTGGACTCCAGAACACTTTTTCAGAGAAGCCCTGTTCAGGTATTACGCAACTGATAGCGTACACTGAGCACCCAGTATCTCACCATGTATCTCATCACGTGCTGGCATTGCCCTCTCACTTCCCAAACACTAAGCAGGAAAGTCTGAAGGGGGCTTTGTTTAAACACAACAAGATCTTCCTTGGGATCAAGAATCCTATTAAAGCAGGCTCATTTAAACATGCAGTGTTTTCTGCAAGTGTTCAAAGACAGACAGTATAATACTTCCTTTACACTTCCCTGCCAGATGTGTGACAATCAAGGTGAAGCAGGCAGGGATCAAAACAGGGGTACTGCGGATAGTGTATGTGGTCTCACGTCCCTTACATCCTCTCACATATAACCACCCACAGTCGCTGGGAGTCAGGCAGCATATAAATGTAAATGTAGTGGTGTTGTTGTTATACTGGACTGAAGATTCAAACAGAACTATGGCAAATAAGAATTCACTACAGACTCAGTTACAGTAACAATGAGTGCACCATCGGAAGAGCTAAGGACCAGGTGAGGGACAGATCATCTATGTGTTCACTAAGAGTCAACAAGGACTTGATGGCACAGAATCATGCTCAATCACAACCAGAATTGAGACATGGCAGTCAATTCTATGTAGATTGGTAGGAAACTTTTTGGATGGGCTTGGCTCACTGAGAATGTCTTGACATCAAGTCACATGTAAATAACTACCCAAGTAAGAATCACAGCAGTTGGCACCCTTTGTTTCTTTCTGACTAGATAGTGCAAAACGTTCAGCACAGGCATGGCTTCTGGAAATCTTTATCAGCCATACAGTTGCAAGTCAATTTCTGATTGGCTTTTTTTAACGCATTTCCTTTCTTCCTCTAATAAGGTCAGATGATGCCACCTGGTAATTACAGCTCTCCTATTTTGTTTAATATAATTTTGTTTTCATGGAATTGGTTTAGCCAGATAAAAGCTCTTGAGATTCATCTCTTTGCCTTTAAAGTGAACCTCAGGAGATTAACAGGCAGATATCGAAGCCTGCTGCACCACAACAAGTCCTGCAGTCAGTCTGATCTCTAAATGCAACATGTTTAACTTCATCAGCATTTTCATATAATTTCACTTTTTTGTTCTGAAATATCATGGGAATTTAATTCGTAAGCATCATCATGTAAAAGATCTCGATTTTTCTTTTTAGAAACTCTTCCTCCAATCTTACTTTTTAAGATTAATTCTCTTTTATTTTTCCTCCCCATTTTTTAACATGTTTAGTACAGTTAAGTAAACCAACAATCTGTAGATAGGTTGTTAATGGTAATCACATTTCTTTCACCTATTCTATCTTACTGGACTTCTGATGGAGAGCACTATCTAAGTGAGACCTCATCAGAAATACCAATCTATGCATATCTACCATGAAGGAAAATGAATTCAAGCAAGACTTGTACTCAAGTATAAATTACAGTAATCATTTTAGCAAATTCTCTTGCCAAACTAATCCGTTTAAACACAAAGATTACTGAGAAATTATTCTGAAGTAAACCAGCCTAGATTATTGTGTTACAGAAAATTAAATGTAAGAAAAACATTTTCAGCAAGCGTTCTTATGGAACATTGGGATCCCTGATTAAATTAAGAGAGTGTATTTTTGTAAAGGGAGTACAAAGCATTTTTGTATAAGATCCTGATTATTATGCATCACATTCTTGGGTAATTTCACTGGATTCTTGTACTTTATTCTTTTGCTTATGTTTAGAATGAAAAGAGACCTAGCTATTAACTAATTACCATTTGGTAAGGCTTTCTCTTGCAAGAGTACAATTATCCTGTTGACAAATGTGGATTATGAAAGAAAGCCTTTCAGAATAAAAGCAAAAATTAAAAGGAATGGTAAAAATGAAATCCTAGACTTCATTAAGTTATGAGTTCCTATAAGAAACTGCATTTCCAATCTTTGCATAAACAAAACTATGTTTGAAAGGCTGAAAGGTTTAAAATAGTTGAATCATAGCCCTTGCTAAGGAGACAAGTCAGTAATTTTAGGTTCCAAACTTGCTGCAGGTTTAAAATTAGTTTCTGAACATCCTACTTAGGCACCTAAAGTATTTGGCTCAAAATACACCCCTTAATCCTATATTATAATCCTCTCAAGGTGATAATGTTTTGGAGTTTGATGAACTGCTTTCTTAAAATAACACTGTATCAAGCCTTTAATTAAGCAAAACTAATTAAAAAAATAATCACTATTGCCAAGCAGAAATGCAGCAGAAACTTACTTTCCCAGTTGACTTCACACCTTTCCAAATGCAAAAGAAACAAATCACCCAGACAAGGAAAAGACAAAGAGCCAGGTCCCACTTGATGATACCAGGTTTATCAATTCCTGAAGACAAGCTCAGGACATTGATCCTTGAAAGGATGAAAAGAAACAAAGACAACACATATATAACCAAACAATTAAATCAGCTTTATTCAAAAGCTGGTCTTTGATATATATGTATAGTAGTGGTGGTATGACATTAATCTCTTCTGTTCTTGCTATAAATTGCATTTTCATATTCAATTGCTTCTTAATATACATTCATATTTTTCTAATATCACTCTTCTCCATGATGTATGAACTTTGTATATAGGGTAATTTGTGCTGTGTAAACAGCACGTTCAATCAAGTGAGCCTCCATCTACAGCCCGAAGTGTACACACATATTTATCATTTTAGTGAGAGCTAGATCTTACCACCTTAGACTGGTACCTAATTACAGAAAGCAGTACTGTATTTTTTCTTTAATTGTCTCTATTCCTATATTTCTTTCTTTTTTAATTATCAGCAATACCATTGTTGTTGTTTCTTAACTTCATTTTACTAAAATTTGGGCTTATTTGCTTGCAAGAATCAGTGCTTGTCCGATAATAAGAGGTATTTGTGTTAAATTGAGTATAAATCCCTCTTGTTTATGTATCATTGATACCAGCACAGATACATGAGGAATTTCTACTTTAAGGCACCACTTGCCATAGATTATCATAGGAATTTGGCACATCATAGGAGTTTGGCGCAAGTAACATACTGGAACAAGATTAAAAATGATACTTTTGTTTTTACTTCAGAACAAGGTACCTACACATTGGAATTGCAATACAGTCAAGAGAATCCTTATGGAACTGCTCTACCAGTACCCAAATTAAGTATGTGATGAACTAGAGACATTAAAAAAAAGATGGCATTCATAATGATAACACATTATATGGAAGGTAAATATGCAAATTTCTGCCATCTTAGGTACAATTGGTTTCAATTGTAAACAAATATACTATTGCTACTACTGTACTTAAGATAAATTAAGCTGATTTAGAAAATGAAATCTAGCACAATATTTAATTCAGTGCAGAACTGCCTCTTACATTACCATGTAGTGTTCAGCTTTAAGAGAAATAAAACACAGAATTAGAGGAACTGCAAAATTTTTGAAAGGATCCCATTTAAGATGAAAAACTGTTGAAAACAGCAGGAATTATCATAAACTGGTTTTGCCCAAAGATCTCACTGAAGAGAAGAAAAATACAAAGACTTTTTTTAAAAAAATGCTTTCAAGATCAGATTTTGTTTAGTTTTATTCTTGTTTGCTTAGATGGACATGTTTAAAGCATGTGATGAAGTTCCCTCAATATTCAATAAACCATAACTGTTCATTATGAAGCTTTTTTTAAAGCTTGGGTTAACTGTGTGAACAGTCCGAGCTTTTGTTTACTGATATTTTTCTGGCGCTTACCTTTTCAATGCTATGTTTACAACCATATACAGTAGAATGAACGAACAACTTTACAACTAAGAAACTGAAGCATGTGATGTAATCCCGAGAGGAATCTATAGAAATAAAGCCCCATTTGCTTATCCCTTATGACTGCTGCTTAAACAAGCATGAGATTTGCACAGGCCATTAGTTCTACTAACTATAATTATTATGCCTCTGATGCATAATCAGTGGCTTTACTATGATTTACATCACTTAGCATGTAAAGGTGGGTTTTTCAATAAATCTAACCCACCTAAATTCTATTACTCAAACATCAAAAACATCTAGGATTATGTTATTAATAAAATGGGTCAGTTGTCTCCTGAATGTACAAACTTCAAGTGAGTTAATAACACATCACAGAGAGCTTTACATATCTGCAAGGGGATATGAATTATCCTACAATGTAAATTAATTATGTAAATTACTTGCTAGCTTTAAAAAGAATGCAGTAGACAGATTGATTAATAGGCACAGCATAGTTGTAGACTTACTGAAGATTTCCATTAATGTAAAAGGTAAAGAATTTTATTAACCCGGCCTATTATAATAAGTGAACAAATAATGTTTTTCAGTGATTCTGCATGTGTTGACCATTCAGGGTTAAACTTATTATTATGCAATGTAATTTTCTTTTCCTTGAAAATTCCAGAGCTAGCAACAGCTAATGACATATCAAGTAATTTTGTTCTACAGGCATTATTTTCACATCTATCACAATCATCAATGATATGATCCACAGTATATCTACTTCAGTGATTTAACTTTGCATTCTAATTACAGCGTAACCCCCAGGATTCGTTTTCTAAATTGAGCCCATGTTACTTACCTTCCACACGGATGGTATTTCTTCCAGAGGACCACTAGATGGCAGCAGAAAGCTGGAGTTGCTTTTCTGATATCTAATGAGCAGCACCCATGGGAGGAATGGGCAGCAAAAAAGGCAAGTTGGCCAATGGGACCTTGTGATGCAAGTCCCACCCCTTTTAAACACGCACAGTGTCAACATATGTCATGTGGGGCTGGGCTTGCATCACAGTGCTCCATCTGCTACCTTGCTGTTTTTGACCTTCTCCTGCTGCATCTAATGATCCTCCTGGGTTTTGTAGTCCAGATCTGATAGCCCTAACATAAACTCATGTGAAGAGCCAGAATAATACATTCATAAATAAAATAAGCGAAGGCTTAGCACTGCGAAAGGTGACATGCAAAAGTAGGCTTGGATCAGCTTCCTACACATAAAACCCCAAAAAGATATATTTAATGATTGCAAAGACCTCTGCAGATAGCTAAAAACCTTGAAATTCTGAAAACGTATCTCAATTTGGGCCAGTGAGATGGCAATATTAGAGAAAGTCCAATCCAAAATTTTTGCGAAATATTTTCCAGGTTCCTTACTGTGCCCCAAATATGGAGCTTTGGCGAGAAGCAGCAGTCACCAGAATTGCATCTGGGTTTTGGATTAGTATCTTTAACTTTTGGCTGAAATTATTATATAAATCAGCTGGATTCACCCCCTTTAATTATAGTAGAAAATTTTGACTCCACCTGCAAAAAAGCTATTGCCAGGAAATTACACTTCTATGGCTTTTCTTGGAATGTTCTTTTCCATTGGGGTTAGAGCAATTTTGAAGGAAAAGATCCTAGATGTAGAAGGTGAACTGAATTATGCAGCTTCCCTCACAAAACACAAACTGGCCAGTTATCTGGACAAGATCACTGTTTCAAAACAGAGAGAGTGTTATCCTTGGCTCATTTTAATGCTCAGCAGGGTTGAAAAGGTATACAAGAAAATCCCCTCTGCTGGACGATGGCGCCCCGTGATGCAGGTGCAATAGAAACCACATTTTGTGTTTTGTTTTACAACCAGATCTAAAGGGCACTCATTCGCAGTTGATCCCCCATCTCCTCTTTAAATTTCCCTGGCATTCTGATATACCTTACTTATATTATCCAGTAGACAACAAAGACAATTCTGGGTCCCTAAGCTTTACTAGGTTTTGTTGTACCACGTGTAAACTCTGCCCCGCCATTATGGACCAGGATGGTGAAGGATTATGTAATGTATTATTATGGTCGTATTTTCTTTGTTGGTCTAGGACTATAATAAAGGCTAGTCTGTTCTATTCTATTTCCAATTCTAATTCTCATTCTATTCTATTCTAATACAGAAGGCTCAGGAAGGAACCCTAAATATGCAGACAATTTCACCTTTATTTGTACTGAACCTATTCACACATTCGTGTATGACACAGAAAACAGAAAAACATGAATAATAACTTTAGGCTTTTTAAACATGTGTGTGTAAGGCCTCTAAGGAAAAGAAAAGGGGTTGTTTTTTTAAATTCCACCAGGCTTCAGGAAAAAAAAGCCCACTCTACTAGGCCTCAATGGATATTAAATGTGTTAACCTCCAAATGTTGCTGAATTAATTCTCCCAGCATGCCTTACTATGGATGCTGTCCACCACTGCTTAATCTGTGCTTCAGCAGTATCTCGATGGTTACACATTGTGCACCCATGCAAGATTAGGTAATATTGCAGGCTTCCTAATATATGTGTGTCTCTTGCAATGTGTCGTCTATGCCTCTTTGCTGTAAACAGTAACAAATAAACTTGCTTACTCCCAAAACTCTGTGACAGGAGACGTGAAGTTAGTGGCATTAAGTGACAACCACAGTGTTTTGTTCTTCCTGAGGGTGTCTTCCACACAGTTTTTTGTATTCCATTGTTGCTGACAATGAGCCCAAGGCAGGATGTACGCAAATGACTGGAATAGATAGTATAGTCCCCAAGCCAGGATGACGATGTAATACACATTCAAAAGTGACACAATCACTATGGAAGCATAACCTATTCCTGTTTTTTAAAAAAAGAAAAAAAATGTATGAAACAATTCATATAAATAAATAAGCATTTTCTCTTGCTAGTTTAGGAGCATCTTTTATATGCCTGGAACTATAAATGCAATAGTCTTCTCAGTTTTTATAATGTTAAAGGAAGTGGAATACAGTATACTGTACGTTAGGATGGTTTGACGCAAAAGGAGACAGCACTCCTAAGCCCTGAACAGGTTGGTGCTCTTGCAACGGTATATTCATTTGTGGATTTAATCATCACAAGCAGCATTGGTGGCAGCACTAACAGCAACATTCTTGATGCAAAGCTACACATTACAAGATATTACAGAAGATATTACAAGAAGAACTGAAGTTAGATAAAGCCAACAGCTGAATGCTGAAAGGTATGCCTTCCTGCCTTGCCTTCCTGAATATTTTTGCAAAATTCTCATGGCTGTTAAGAGGTAAAAGTTTAACTCTCTTATCAGCGCCTTACAGCCACTCTGCTTGTTTTTGAAAGATAGGTTTACTGGCACAGAAGGTCACGTGCACTGTTACTCAAAATGTCATACAAGCAGCTAATGATGTACCACTGGGCATAAGACTTCCCAATCTTAACCTCACATACTTGGCATGATGTCTTACTAATTCATAATGGATTTTGATTCAAGTAACACTGTGGGAGACCAAAAAAAAAGGGGGGGGGAAACCCTGGTCTAAGCTACAGTCTCTTTACAAAACACCAAATTGCCCTGGAACAATTTAATGATCTGTGAATACACCAGCTCAGTAATAATCTGTGCTGTCATAAGCCATGGTAACTGTTCAAAATTCTTTTATCTTCCAGGGGCAGATGACTAAA